GGGGGGGGGGGGGGGAGGACACCAGTGGTACTGTCCTCAGCTAAGCCCGTACAGGCCGCCTCGTGCAGTCGCTAGATTCTTGGGACCAACGTGACTCCCTTGTCCTTTTCACAACTTCATAGTGGTGGCTAGGGAAAGAAGAACTAGAGAACTCCTATCAGCTGTTCGGCATAGGGGGGGGGGACATTTTGTGCCTAGGCTAGTCCTCTTTGCTACAAGAGGGATCGGCAGTGATCGATGGGAAGCAGCAAAATACCCCTCCAAGCCGAGCTGCACCCGAGATAGTGCAGCCACGTCGCCGGAACGTCTAGAACGTTCAAAACGGGAAAAACCAGGGGGAGAAATTGTCTCAAGGCGTAATACGGCTCCCCTGTCCCCGCGGCAAGACATAACCCCGCGACAATGATTGGCAAAGAAAACAGACGCAAAAGAGATAAAGTAGAAATAAACAACTATTATTTTCAAATAGTTTTTTGACCTCATTAATTTCATTTTGACTTTTTTCCACTTCCTTGAAAAACAGATCCTGTTGCGGACATAAATAACTGAATATATTGTTCTGAGCATTACTACGAGATGGAAATCGTACTGTCACATTTAAAAAGTCTGCTAACTTACTTGGTAAATATTAAACACAATTTTCCAAATACGAGCAGCGCAATCGAGCCTATTCAACTGCATGAGTTCCAGATAATCGAATGGATACTATGGGTGATGGAAGGATCCAAATCAGAGAAGAAGAAAAACCTTGAGATACTCTATCACAGTGGACATTACGAAGTCGACTATTTACCATATGATTGGTCATTTAATGGAAAGATGAGGGAATAAAAATGGAAATGAAAACAACTTCTCCTCTGCTTTATTCCATGAGAATTCCAGCTGAAGGGCAGAATCTGTTGCATTTTGAACGACCTCAAGGAGGAGGGGGATTGTATTTCGTGACCGTTATCAATTTCATTGATAACGGTCACGAAATACAATAAAAAGAGACAATGTCAAGATTTCGTTTAGCCTTTATCGTTGGGCATACAAAGTGAGGAAGTGGGATCCGGTCACCAGAGGGAGGAGAGTCGCACTTGCATCCGAGGAAAATGTACTCAGTTGTTGGTTTTTCTCAGTTTTTCCTGTTTCAAGTGCGCCATATACCCCTACCCCCCTGCCCCTCGAAGGTAATGTTTGGAGCTACTGAGACCCTGGTGGCAGGATCTTGACTCTCGATACTCCCCGCTCAAATCCCTAGTGTGGCTTTCGCGGCGAATCAACACACTGACAGATTAGTTGTGTCCTTTCAGCATACTTACTACAGGTGACTAGCTCGAACGCAACTTTTATCAGAATCATGAGTGAGTGGATCAACTCTTGCATTGCATTGATTTTCGACGCGCTTTTCCTGGCCGAGGGTTTATCTACTTAAAAATGTAGTGGATTGAACTTCCCATGGAAGTTCGAGCCTTCGGGACCTAGGCAATCCGAATAGAGAATCGACGTGCTTATTACAATTGCAGAATGAAAAGGCAACAGCGTGGACCTCCCAACGAATGATATCTGGCGGTCAAGGTTTGCGAAACTCAGTTTTGGCATCGTAATGGGCTGCTGAATCGATGGTCGCGACAGGTGCCACGTGGCATTGAGGTAACGGTCATCGCTTCAAACACCAAAAAGCCCGTGGGTTTGTTTGCTTTTACATCCGTTTCGGCGCGCAAACTTGCTTCCGGTTCTGTAAGAGCTTTTACATCTAACTTTTCAAAATTCCTCGAGTTTAGGCCAGAGCTAGCAAGAGGATCGTTATATGAACGGTACTCGATTAATATGTATTTTGCAGTCACTTCATTGCCCCTCTCTCATTTATTACCCATCCCGCACCGTTTACGAAGGTTTTCGCCCAGAATCACAACTGAATTCTCGTCAGAGGATGATGAATGCGATAATTCAGGACCAGGTCATTATCATCCAATGAAACGACCTTTCTCGCCAAATGCGAATAAACGCTCAATTAATCTATTGACTTTTACTATTTCAGAGGCAAATTTTGAAAATTAGAGTAAAAGTTCTTATAGGAGACGAAGCAAAAACTTTCGCGCCAACGGGATGCAAACCCACGAGCATTTGGCTTTGAAGCGAGACCGTTACCACTAGGCCACGGTGGCACTGCCGCATCGATCAGCAGCGCTTACGAGCCAAAACTGACTTTTCGCAAACTTTGACCACCCAGATCTCGTCTGGGAGGTCCCCGTAGCACTTTTAATCTGCATATTCGTAATCAGCATTCGAGGCTCTATCGATGTACCTAGGTCTCCATTCAAAGTTCCATGGGAAAGTTGAAACCATTCCCTTGTTAGTGATAGCGTTTATGCAAACTATTTTTGTCAAAAATTGATCAAAATCAACCAAAACCTGATCTCAATGCATGCAGTCGGGCAACAAAATACTGAAACAACAGTTGCAATAGGAATGTGAAGGCGCTCAATGTGTTAAGAACTGTGAAGGCGCTCAATGTGTTAAGAACAGAAAAAAAACTAACTGGTACTTGGATAAGCCTGGAATCGAAATTCACATGACCATTTACTGACCTGTAACTTTCACTCCGCTGCCTAGCGTCCAAGTCACGTTTAAGAAAAGACGACGGAATTTTCTTCGCTCGTTTTCTTCCACTTTCTAGAAGGGCTTTATGTAGTAAGTCCACATCTTCACAGAATCCCTCTTCCTCGATCAATCTGAAATCAATCAGAATTGCGAAACAGTGCTTCAAATGGACGTCAGGCACTCTGCGAAGGCGAAAAAAGCAGGTGATCAATTACAACATGATCAACAGCAAGATTGAATGTCGTCGTTTGAATAGCATTGCTGACACAACGAACAATACCGCAGACACTCTTTACATGATCCCATTACATCAGAAACTGTTCGAGCTGAAATGGTGGCTTAAAAAGTGGTTAGCTAAAAGGTTGCACGCCAACCGCAGAGGACAGCGGCTACCACAGCATCGAAACGTGAAAGAAACACATGGCGAGCCAGAAAACAAGCTTCAAGGGAAGGGGACTCCAGGGTGGGTGAGCTACTTATAATCGGTGAAAAGCTGGAAGTGCGAAGTCACAACGGCCATAGAGTGCCATGCGGACGAGAGAGTGCAGAGAAAAAGAGAAGATCGACGCGTTCAAAGGGATTGAGTTCAAGTTGTCCGTAGACCCCCCACCCCTACCACTTCGCGTACAATACCATCGACGCTAGTTCTCTTATCGCTTCATCATGAAGCATAAATGATATGAAGTGTTGCTACATGAATGCATAAATACAATGTGCAGCCGTATCTATCAAAGCAGTCGCTGGCAGAATGCCTATGGGAAACTCGTCCAAAAACGCTCGTCCACACCGTGCAGAACAAAGCTTTTTCCGCAGGTCTTGGCCTATTTTACTTCGTTCTTTTTTTTTTCCATTCTTATTATTTTATCAGCACCATGTTCATTATCGATTTGAGCATGTATTCTTAAATTTCTATCATTTGGCCCTTATTAACCTTAGTTGAACGAATCTATCTGCAGGTGATTGAGTTCTACCTATTTATATGACTGATATTTAAAAAATTCCCTGGGTCACTTATTTTTGTTTTTTTTGTTTTTTTTTTTTTTTTTTTTTGTTTTATGTGTATGTCTACTCCTTGTATCTTTTGCCTCTATGTGTTTTGTCGCTATGCGCGAGAGGGTTCTCTAGGTCTCGTTGGTCGCGTACTGGGTCTGCCGGGGGGCAGAAGGTGCTGAAAACGATGGCTCCAGCGGTTAGTTGACAGGGCCGCTAAGACACAGATATTCGAATACGGCTTGACGCGAACCTTGGCGGCCCGCGCCACGGGCGCCGGCGCCAAAATACTCGAAATCACCAAATTCGCTGAAAACTTGCTCCCAGGGGTAGTTTGACCCCCTGAACACGAATATCACATCCGCTCAAACCCAAAACCCTCCTAGCACCCGGCAACTGCGGCCCCCGGCCCGAAAACCACAATCATTGCGTCTGTGGCGCGGGCGGCCAAGGAAGTTTTGGACTCCAGCATACGGATACAACATTCGCCAAGAGCGAATGTGATATCGCGTAATTCTGGGTGTGGGTCGAATGGTTTATCTTCTTTAGGTAGGCAACTTATTTTCTTATTGTCTATAAATATTTTCTTTCACCATTTTTTTTATGTTAAAAGTCGGTCAGGAAGCTGGCCTGATTTCGTGATTTGACTTGGTGCTATGTTTAAATGGGTAAATTAAGTACTATATCTGTCTTTGTGGTTTCATACACCGGCAACGAGAAGGTTCCAGTTGCCCGCAAATTTTGAGAATCGTCTTAATTTTCCTGCATTATTTGAGTAATGAGGGAGGGAAGGAGGAGTGATTTTCCAATTGCCGAGTGGGCCCAGGTCTATTCTGCAAGCTAGAAGAATGTGAAAATCGATAGCATTGCCCTTTTCCTCGTGATAAATGGTTCAGCTATCACCACGCCAAGTATTATACTCTCTTCCTCCACACGTTTCGGGAGTTTCAGTGGGCTTGAAATAGCAGAACAGCGCGGCCGAAAAGCGATAGTGATGTTACACAACAATTTAAATGAAGTTCGCTGCTGAGAACGGCTACGATTCGAAGTAAAAGACCAAAGAAAAACAAAAACAACTTTGTAAAAAGACGTAGGGGCGGGGGAACATTCCAACTCACTGTTTCATAGCTATGTTGGCCAGTTGCGAAGCTAGCTTGAAGGTGTCCTCAATATTGATGAACATTGAAAATTCGTAGCTTTCTTGACGAGTAACCACTCGTATGCTCTGAGGCCACAAAAGCGTTGAGACTTTCTCGAGTTTCTGAAACTGGGGAAAGTCTAGCCAGAGAGAAATGTACCTCCAATTGAAATAACCACTGTACAGTATTAAAGCCAGTACCGTTATATCTGTCCATTTCAACTTAATCTTCACTTCATTCCCAATGACAAATGAATAGAAGCACAGAAAATTCACGGACAAGAATAACTGTCCTTGGTTAGGAAAACGATTGTTCCAATAACAGCAGTTATAATCTGAACAAGGAAAAACAACTAAAAATAAGGTGTGTGCTTGGAAAAAACTTACAGTTAACTAGTTTTTCATCAGGAGTTAGTGAAAATAACGTGAGGAATTTATGCAGAACTGACCGAGTCGTTAGTGAGTCCAACTCATCTTAAAGTAGGCATTAGAACTGCAGTAAATAGAATTTGAATATGTGGTGAAGATTTCAGCGCAGTTCGGCTTGGGGGGGCATCCATTGGTATTCATTTAAGCTTAAACATGTGTCTTTGTCAGGACCAGTATAAATATGTGTCTTTTTCAGGACCAGCAAATTCCCGTGGCCTAAGTGGCTCACTCGCTCAATTTCACAATTCCACAAAAGTCTGCAGGTCTCCATAAAAGTAAGCTCTGTTTTTTTAACATGAATCAACAAAAGGAACGAGCAAGAGCGCGAATGCCCTCTACAAGCGAAACAGCGCCCAGATTTCTAATAAGAAAGGAAAGAGTTGAATGTTGAGGAGAGAGTGTACCACTCACCGCTTGCTCCCGAAGTTTCAGCCGCTATGAACACCAGGCTCTCTACTTTACCGATCACAAACGCTCGAACATCCTTCTCGGTTGAAAACGAACCTCCAAATAAGAATATTGATATTAAAATTACAAAACTATCAAGGTAAATAGGCATGAACAAAATGAAAGAGATCTCAAAGGAATCAAAACTATGGAAAAGAGCTTGTCAGGAAAGCACACAGAACCCTATCGGCGAAAGAAAAACTTGAAGGTCACCTAGAATTGGCATGATATTCTTTTGTATCCAGTTCCAGTGGTCCATAATTTCAGTTTTTCGAATAGCTGCGGCAATAACTGTAAAAAAAATTATTATTATTATGCGATTCCTTTTACCTGTGAGGTTCTTCATGGAAAAGTATGTAGTATTCATAGTATTATGGTAGTATTCATGTCTGAGTAAGACGTTATTCTGTAGTTGCTTCTGTGATCTAATACTGTTTATTTGCGTGACCAGTACAGTTTCGGAAACGGTCCCCGCGGTCAACAGTTCCTAGCCTTCCCTGTCTAAGTAATCCGGTACCTAATTACCGTGGACCGCAAAGGTGGGACAATCTAAGCGTCTACGCATTAGACTACTTGAACAATGAAGGAATTCTACGAGCTGGTTGTATTTGGGTCCATCTTTATCTAGTCTTGTAAAAAGGCAAGTCAGTGATCCTGACTGCCGTATTTTGGTAGAAAGGCAATGAACACTGGAGTAAGTATAAAGGTGTAGAGAAGGTAAAGCAAAAGATACGCAAACTCCAAGTTCACACTTGGCGGCTAGGGAGAATAAGAGATTCGGCGACTCTACGTTTTCAGAGAATGCGCGTCAAGCAAAGCG